GGTCCATGACCGAGGTTCTCGTCGACGCAAGAAGAACAAGCTGGATTTGCTCTTCGGCAAGAAGAATGTTGGTTACAGTTCTAAAGTCGGGTGGGGTTGGAGAAAAAAGATTGAGGAAGGTTCGGTGACCACCACTCCTTGGAGACGGGATCCAAACAACACCTATACACTATATATCCAAACAAGTCTTCTACAAAATCGTCTTAATATCTTTCTTTTTATATATATATATATATATTATATATATATATATATATATATTTATATTTATATTTCCTTTTTATATAAAAATAAATTATTCACAATGTGTATTTATAACAATAAATTTAAAAGTTTTATTCACACATTTAATTATAAATATATTAAAAAGTTGAATTTTTTTTAATTTAATATTAAATTAAAAAGATATCGTTTTTTCAACAAATGCAACTTTTGTTTCAAAAAAACTTAGATACAAAAACTCAAAATGCTTTGAAACTTAACTTCTCGATTCGAACCAGATTTGAAAACCCTTGTTGTAGCGTCTATCTCCGCTAGCTTAAATTGATGAAAGTTGATTTCGAACTTGCTTATCTATCCAAACTATGTTCTTAGGTTTGGTTTTTCGCCATGCCTCCTCTCGTTTTTCTCGCGTTAGATATGGTACGTATCGTAATGTATAGTTTTAAACTCTTTTCACCATATGTACCCAACGTTTTTCCTAAATTTGATGTTATCTTTTGAAAATTTCAAATTTTTATGCGGCCTCCATTAATATTTGCCACAACTTTTTTTTTTTTTTTTTTTTTTTGCCACAACTATACTTCCAGATTTTGGACTAAAGCCCAATAGGCCGAAAATAAAAACCAAACCCATTTTTTTTTTTTTTTTTTACTTCCCTCGTTCTGTATATATCATCTATGTCTAATTGTATGTCAACTCAAAATTTATCTCAGTAAAACGATTCTGTGATTATATCTGTAAATAGTTTTTATTCAGCTATTAAGCAGATCAGTGATATTTGTAAAACCACAACCCATAGATTCCTTTAATACAACTATGAGCTGTTAGCCTGTTATATATAGTGGTATTCACTAGATACTAATTCTTATTTTTCTCTTTATTAGTTCTTTGGCCTGTAAGAGAGATCATCACAATCCTTTCCACCAAGTAGATGTTTAAACATGAAATATCGTAAATCTCTGTGGGTTCAATGTATCTGGTTTGAAATTATGATATTTCAACTATTTCGTTGCTTTGCACTAACCTATTAGAAAAAAGGACGTACAAAAGTAATGTTACAATCTTATCTTTAAAAAAAGTCTTAAAAGATTTTTGTGGACATATATTTCAATAGATATTTTTGGCTTCATTACAAAAGTGAACTTATCTTCATTCTTCAAAGCATTCCACGCAGTCACATACATGGAACCAGTCCACGCAGCCACATCTCTTCTTAATTCTACGTCTCTTCTTAATTCTCACAATCCCAAAAAAGAATACAATCAATAATAAGTCATTTCTTCTCTACCTCTCTCTCTCTCCCTCCCGCAGTGCAAACTCTTTCGCCACAAATTTTAAAAGTTTAAGGTAAATTTACGGATCTCTCTCTTTCTCTCTAGATCTCTTACAATTTATTTTTAGTTATTAGTTAATATTTTCTCTAATCATTCAATTTAGGAATGTATTCTTGTCTACTTTATCAAAAGAAAAAAAAAAGTGTTCTTGTCTTGGCTTACAGAGTGATCGATGACTCTTCTTTCTTTTAGATTTGCCTTTTTTTTTTTTAGGATAATATTAGTAGATAGCCAAATTGGACACATAAATTAAGAAACTACCAGAAAGAAAATTTTCTGTCGGAAAACAGCATGGACCCACCTTGTCTGAGGATGTGAAATAACAAAATCATCTTTCGTTTGTTTTGAGATCTACAGTAGGCGACATTATTTCGTGATATTTTTCAAAATAACACGTAAGATCTAAATTTCACATGTTATATTTAACTAAAAGACATGCTATTTAAAAAAACGTAATGAATTTTTAAGAAAAAACATTGTTACGGAAAAATTAAACTTGAATAGAATCTTTTTATAAAGAAATAACATGTGATCTTAATAAAAACCGTGAATTACTAGAAAATAAGAATCGTTTTTGAAAGAAATCACATGTGATCATAATAAAAAACGTGTATTACTACAAAATAACACGATAGAGAAAGATATTAAACTGAATAGAGTGTTTTTTCAAAGAAATAACATGTGATCTTAATAAAAACCGTGAATTACTATAAAATAAGAATCTTTTTTTTTTAAGAAATCACATGTGATCATAATAAAAAACGTGTATTACTACAAAATAACATGATAGAGAAAGATATTAAACTGAATAGAGTGTTTTTTCAAAAAATAACATGTGCTCTTTATAAATAACGTGTAATACCGGAAAATAATATGATAAAAAGAGATATATTATTCTATCACATGTAATTCGAGAGAAAAGCATGTTAATAAAGGACATGTATGTAATTACACGTGCTTTCCGACATCATACATACAAGTTACTGTAGCTCATGACTATTTTTTTAATTATCTTCAAAAATTTGGCTATTTTGTGCATATTCTCTTTTTTTTTTTTAATTGATAAATGAATACTCTAAAATCTAAATATTATGCGAAACTAAAAATTACATTAATCTATCAATAATGGAAATATGGTTCATAGTTTGTTTTAGTGAAATTTTTATTCCCAACAACAATACTAAAAGCGAAATATTAGGTTGAATTATTGATTTTACGTAATATAAGGTAAACAATACAAAAAAAAAAAAAAAAAAAAGTAGACAATTCAAAATAGTAAACACTATAAACTTTGTCAATAAACAAAGTATAAATTTTCTCAGACTATATAGGTTTGCAAACCTGGAAATAATTAAGTAGATAGCTCCAATAGGTCAAATGCTTTAAGAACTTTTTTTTTTTCTTTTTTTTTTTTTGAGCCAGTCAAAGAATTAATTACGGATTTTGCCCTTTTTTATAGTGGCATTTGTGGATTTTGCCATTTTTTGAATAGTTTGTAGATTTTGTCATTTTTCAGGTTCCAAAAATATGATTTAACATGCGTTTCACTCGTTATGTTTGGGTTTAGTCGGTTCCATTTGTTCTTAGGGTTTAGTATTTGGTATAAAGTACGTATTTTTGCAAAAAAATCACAAAATACGTACATTTTTAAGTGTTAAAAAAGGGCAAAATCCGTAAACTATTCAAAAAATGGCATTTTCGTAAGTTTTTCCTAAAAAATGGCATTTTAGACAATAATCCCCCAGTCAAAAACTAATTAAGTTTATATACTCTCTTCTTTTTCTTTGTACCCGTAGGGAGACAAAATGAATTGGTGGTTTATTATCGTTAGTGCATCCTTTTTCTTTGCATTTATACTCATTGCAAAGAACACGAGAAAGACAAAGAAGAATCTACCTCCTGGACCACCAAGACTTCCTATAATTGGAAACTTGCACCAATTGGGATCCAAACCTCAGCGTTCGCTATTCAAATTATCTGAAAAGTATGGATCTTTAATGTCCTTAAAGTTTGGAAATGTGTCTGCTGTTGTGGCATCAACTCCAGAGACAGTGAAGGATGTCTTAAAAACGTTCGACGTAGATTGTTGTTCGCGGCCTTATATGACTTATCCTGCAAGAGTTACATACAATCTAAATGATCTCGCCTTTTCTCCCTATAGCAAATATTGGAGGGAAGTACGAAAGATGACGGTCCTTGAACTCTACACTGCGAAAAGGGTAAAATCGTTTCAAAATGTAAGACAAGAAGAAGTTGCCTCATTCGTCGATTTCATCAAACAATCTGCTTCATTGGAGCAACCAGTTAATATGAAACAAAAGTTAGTGTAACTCTCTGGGAGTGTGATATGTAGAGTTGGATTTGGCATAAATCTCGAAGGGAGCAAACTTGCGAATACTTATGAGGAAGTTATTCAAGGGACCATGGAGGTGCTGGGGAGTTTCGCAGCAGCGGATTACTTCCCGATTATTGGAAAAATCATTGATAGGATCACAGGGTTACATAGCAAATGCGAGAAGGTTTTTAAGTCAATGGATTCGTTTTTCGATGAATCTATAAAGCGTCACCTGGAAGATGCTAATATTAAAGATGACATCATTGACTTGCTCCTCAAGATGGAAAGGGGAGAGATGGGACTTGGAGAGTTTCAACTTACACGAAACCACACTAAAGGAATTCTTCTGGTAAGTAATGGGAGCCTCTTAATCCATAATTTAATTCTTCACATATTGCATAGTGTTTAATTTTTGTGTCGTTGATTATTGCAGAACGTTCTTATTGCTGGAGTGGACACTTCTGGCCACACTGTGACATGGGTGATGACACATTTGATTAAAAACCCAAGAATTCTGAGGAAAGCGCAAGCCGAGGTGAGAGAAGTGATCAAAAACAAAGATGATATCGCAGAAGAAGATATAGAACGACTTGAGTATTTGAAAATGGTGATTAAAGAAACATTAAGGATAAACCCACTTGTGCCACTTCTGATTCCAAGAGAGGCTTCAAAAGATATAGAGATTGGAGGCTATGACATTCCAAAGAAAACATGGATTTATGTCAACGTATGGGCTCTTCAGAGGAATTCAAACGTTTGGAAAGATCCAGAAGCTTTCATCCCCGAGAGGTTTATGGATAGCGAGATTGACTACAAAGGTCTAGACTTTGAGTTGTTGCCATTTGGTAGTGGAAGAAGAATGTGCCCTGGTATGGGAATGGGTATGGCTTTGGTACACTTGATTCTTATCAATCTTCTTTACCGATTCGATTGGAAGCTTCCGGAAGGAATGAACGTAGAAGACGTTGATCTTGAAGAATCATATGGGCTTGTTTGTCCTAAGAAAGTCCCACTTCAACTAATCCCGGTCCTTACGCAATGGACTTGACTTCAGTTCACTTTCCTCTTTTGGACTTCACTTCACTTTATAATTTTATAGTTCAAAAACATGTGATGTGAAGATCTTATACCACTACTACCATCAAGAAAATATTTGTCCAATCCATATCTTGTAGCTTAAACACAACTTCTTGGGACAATGACTACCGAATCAAATTGCGAAACAAAAAGGCGGGTATAATTTTACTAGGACTAGAGCTAAACACTCACAGTTGGTGATGGAGGAAGACATTGTCTTCTCCTTTCCCCTCTTCTGCTTCGGTTTAAAGAACCCGATGAAGAAAGTGAAGGGTCAGGTGGAAATCTACTTGATCTACTCCGAAGTTTCTTCTTCTCTGCTTCCGGAATCTTCTCTTCCTTTGATTTCACCTGCCTCACCTTTGTCTCATTCAGCTCCGCCGGCAGAACACAGTTGCAAAACAAACCTAAAGGGAAAAAAAACAAACCTAAACTTCTGAGCTTTTACTAAAACAGAGTAAAAGCCAATGTTCTGTTTTGTAGCTTCTTACCGAAGCGAGCAAGACGGTTAACCCAACTAGGGATCGATCTTCGAGTCAGTTGCACACAAACATCATTGCAGAAGTGATTGCAATTCTTAGTGATCAAATGGTAAGTATTTCCACTATATTCTTCAGCAAGTTTCTCCATAAAAGCACGAACGTTTTCAGGATCCAAATCAGTTCTTCCAATCAATATACACTTCCTGAATGTAAAACCCGGACATTGCTTCGGTTCCACCTCAAAAATCCCCGTCGTCGAATGCTCGTGAGCTCCGAAACCATATTCAACCCCATGAACTAAACCAAAAACATTGATAACACAATATCAAAAACAACAACTAGATCTCAATATTAAACATACTTCATTTTTGGACATACATATCTATTATCTAATAAGATAATATACAATTCAATTTAAAAGTCACATAAAACCAGGTTCTGATTATAATTATTATTACTCATAGAAAACCAAAAGAGTTAAATCCAAAAATGGGTCAAAAAAAGTTTCCAGTTTTGGAATCTATTGAAAACGAAACCAGTCTATTTCAATTTCTACAAACAAACAAAACAAACCAACAAACTAAAAAAGTCTCTTACTTCAAGCTAAAACAGAATCATATTAACCAAATTTTCCACTCAAAGATGAGAAATTTTCAATCCCCAATTCAAAAGTTTTAAGCTTTAACCAAAACCCACAAATAATTTTCCAAGAAACTTCAGAAATATGGGAGAGATAAGATATACCTTCAACACCAGAGTGATAGATCCCAAGTCCCAACCAGTAAGCATAACCATTGATGGGTGTGAGATCGTATACATTCAGATAAACCGGAACCGAACCGGGTTTCTTTTTCCGGCCAGTCACCACCACCATTCTACACAACATCTTTCTTTAACAGAAGAAAGAGGAGCTTCGAATCTTGTTCTTCTGTCAATCTGAGAGAGAAGCTTCTGATGATGTTTCCTTCTTTCTTTAAAGTTACATTCTTTTTGGGGTTCTGCTTTCTGTCATTCTTCTTTCTTTTTTAAAATTATTTTTTAGTCCTTATAATTTACGTTGTTTTACGTTTTGCCCCAATATTATTAATTGGAGTTTTTGACGTCAACGACGCCAACGAGGACTAATGGAGAGCTGAGAACAGTATGCTTTCTCTCTTTCTAGGGGAATCAACTTTGACAATGTAATAGTTTTCTTCTTTTTTTTATAATATTGACAATGTAATAGTTTGTAGCAAAGTGCACATAGTTTAACATTCCAACAACAACAATAAAATGGACATAAATATTTTTTGACATCCTGAGAATTTTAGTTAATCATATACCGTGTTCCAAAATTCGGTCGTTAATCATATACCGTATTCTAAAAATCTGTCGTTTAGATGATTAAAATTATATGAACGTTTTAGTTTCATCCAAATCGATTTTAGCCTAGATGTATGATTATTCTAATTATCTAGATAAGTGGAATAGATGTAAAAATAATATTTTTGTTCCAATATGAAAAAAATTAAAAAGACAAAAATATATACTAAAAAGAGTAAAAGTAAATGTCAAATTAAATAGTTGACCAAAAAAATAAAAAAAAAATGAAACATTATATTATTTCTGATTAATCAAATATTAAAAGATTAAAAAAAAAAACTTTTGTTTCTTATTAATGGCTAAAACGCTAAATTTTGTCTGAACGTCCGGTTAATGTATATAGAATTTATTTAACATTGATATATGTTATATGTATTTAGAAACTAATATTTGAACTGTTGCATTATTCTCTACATTTTCATTATATTTATAATTGTTTGTGAAGAAACATCTTAAATAACTAGTATGTGAATAATTTGGTTGTGAAAGCTATGGAATGAATCAGCCCCTTGTATGTTATTAGATAAACCGGTTCAATGGACGCAAAGAATCACTCGTGGAAGTGGGTGGTTGATTTTGTAATAAAATGAGGAAAAGCAGGGTAAAATAGGTAAATTAGATTAAATAAATAGGTAAATTAGACAAAGCCACGAGCCATGTCTCAGGAGTTGTGTGTCTTTGTGTACGTTCTAAGCAAAACGATGACTAGCTGTTTGGGCGTGAAGTTGGCAACATAATTACGTTTTATAATCTTTGACCAAACAAAAAAAGAAAAAAATTACGCTGACGTACTTGATAATTATAGACTGATTCTTTGTTTTATGTGTATATATGTATATACATTAGTTCAAATCTCTTTTACGAATAACAAACATAATTCACGGATTCGCAATTATCAAATACTTTTATTGTGTTGTTAGGTATGAATTTATCTTTAAATATGATTACGATCACTGTTCAATACTTTCATTAATAATACTAGGGCGAAACCCGCGCTATGCCGCGGGGCTTTTTTAAAAACGTTTTTTCAAGAAGTTGCTTAATTGTGTTTTATCCACTCTACTTCCACTACATGTCTACATGTTTATGAGATTAGTTAATCATGAACACAAATGAAAATTTGATCTTTCTCGCTACCGTGAGATACACTCTGTATCTCGCATGAGCCGATTGTGTTCAAAATTGCCCAACCTCTGTTAGATTCTTTTCTTTAGATATCCTACATTATTTTATGTTCTCAATCAATAAGAAATCTAATTTGCAGTTATTGCATCTAATCCACTAATGTTGAGTTTTTAACCTTTGTTTTTCCATTGACACTTCTGTTTTGGGTTTATAATTGGGCTTTTGATATGATGTTATAGGCTCCGATTTACCTTATGTAAATCTCATTTCAGTTATTTAATAAAATCAGTTGTAAAAAAAAAGGGGTTTTTTTTATTAATAATTTAATACATACATATGAAGAGGTTAATTATATAATTTGTTTAAATTTCTGACTACCAAAACCATTTACTGCTTAGAACACACACTTTGTGTGTCGCTTTTATGCTTGTTGCAGGCGTTAATGACTGAGAAGTGATGGGTTTCGAATGGCCCAAGGTTTATGTTGGATTTGAATGGCCCATATCGGTTTGGCTTAGTAAAGTCAAACCTCTGAATCCACTGGAACATCCTTCTTCTCTTCATTAAGAAAGAGAGATAGCGAGAGATTGAAAAAAAAAGAACCGAGAACCTCCACAACAATGAATTTCAATCCACCGTCACAACGTTGATCGTTTTCTTCTTCTTCGGCGAGCCTAAGGTTCAATCTCAGCTAGAAAATTGAAATGTGTGTTTTTCTTATACATAGAATTTTTGGGGATTGAAAAGTTTTTCTCAAATCTAATTCCAATTCGATGCAAGTGTGTAATGAGCGAACTCTTGGGACCATGGTTTCTTCAATCCTTGAACCTCTTTATTCACTTCTTCTGTCAAAATCTCTCTTCTTTCAAGAAAAATGACTTCTCTCCCCAACAATCCTCTATAGCTTCCCATGAACATTTGCTCGCATTTGATAAGCACAAAGTCGACCAGTGTTTTTCTCTCAATCTTACTCTGGACATCTCTCTTACCTTCAATTTCATCGAAAAAGCTCAGAGGTAATATCAGTAGCCATCCCCAAGGAGAATTCTTTTATCATCAGTTGGCCAGAGACTATGAACTTGGTTATGTACTCGAGCTCTCAGTCATGACCTTCTCCAGCTTCTAATAAAGCGACGGATTCTGTTGAGGATTTGGTTTCTCTAGTTTCATTCTCATATTCATTGCGTGAATTTGAGAAACTTTTGCTGCTCGAGATTTGAAGATTTTTGGCTGTGTTGAAGTTATTAACTTCCTGATCCTCTTATGCATGTGTCATAAGAAATATGAAATTTTAAAGATCAGTGAGTCAGAAAACCTTACGAAAATATAAATATAACGAATTATAAAAACATTGGTAAGCTACTAAACAAGGGTAAAATTGATGGATCCATCACCTAATTTGATCAAATCAATCGAAGTAGAAAGACAAACACATTTGAAGATTTCAAGATAATATAAGCATCAAACCACCATTTAAAAGAAATAGATAACTACCCACACAAACTATTTCTTCCTTGCAACTGAACTTCCATCTCAATCAAGTTGTCGACAAAATCGTCAAATCAAATCTCCAGCTTGACTGGATTCACAAAAACAAAGTGGAAGATCTAAGCAAATTTAAATTCAATCAAAAATCACCTTAAAATCAAGTTATGCTTTCTGACATTGGTAACCCTATCTCAAAATTCTTCATGAACCATTGTTATTATGATCTTTCAACCAAATTTATAATCATAATTAGAATCAAACTGTTTAGTCGTAAAAAAAATATCAAAAATTTTTATCGTTTAAAAATCAAAACCTTTTTAATCTCGATTTAATTGGAGAATAAAAGCTTCCTGCAATGTACTCACAACCTCTTCATTGATTTCAACCTCTGCAGCTTCTGCCTCTACTACCGTTGCAGCACTGTTTTCGGTAGACTTATATATCCTCACGCGCCTAATAGGAGAAAAGAAAATTATTACATCTTGTTTCAGCTATGGTTCTTTAAGCCCACTTCTCTCCAAACAATAAAGCCCAACAAATTGAAATATAATGACATAGCATAAAGAGAATTATTTATAGGCTGAAACATGTTGAGTTGTATTAATCGAAATGTTTTCATTAGACGATGATTTTAATGAGGTGTCAACATGAGAAGAGCCCAAAATGCTGATGTGTCAGGCATAGAGAGATTCTTAAAGTTATTATTGTATTGATATTTTACGTAAATTATGAAGAAAAGGCATAAGATTTCATGTAAGATAATGGACCAAAAATATTATCATTAACGGACTTTCAATAAGGGTTAGAAATTATAATGGACTCTTCACAAATGTCTTTTTTTTTTTAATAAACCCTTCAAAAATGTTTTAGCCGTCTTTTAAAGATTTTTTAATATATTAGTGGAATGACCATTAGACTCAGAAGAAAACCTATTAAATTGGTATACTTTCATCATTCTTCTAAACATATTAGTGTTTAAAAAAAAATTAAAGTTGGCTTTTAAAAGGTCAACAAAAAAACAAACTTTGTCTATTTAATGACTTCGACAATTAATTAGCAATGGCCATTTGTAGAACGACTTTGGAGACCAACAAGTTGTGTACGTAATTATTATATACAACTTCTCGTGATGATAATATAAGTTACTAGTATTATATTCAAGTGATTATTTTGTCAATTACCATGTTTATCAATTATCATTATTTTAAAATAATTTTTTATTTGGTTATGACGGGCAATATAGTCAGAGACTCATAAATGAAAGGAGGTCAAAGTGACGACGGCGTTATGGGCCGATCGCTTCTATTTGCAACTTCCTTAGTCTTTTCGATAACGTTGTTCGGTGGACCGTGGACCTCATGAAAATGAAACTCATTTATGAATAACCAAATGAATTGGATAATCAGGATCCAAATGAATTAGAAAGATCCCGATATATATCGATATTATTAGTAGAAATTGTGGTTCCTCTAAAGCAAGGCAGAGCACTTTTTTTTTTTGATATAGGGATCGGACAAGTAAATAACATATGATTAATTATCTTTTCTTCCAAATAGAATCTCCAAAAACTCTCTTAGTCCATAATTTTTCAAGAGATCCATATATTGATTTTAATTAAGTCTTGGTCATCACACTATTTGTAGTTTTCTAGAGTACCAATTTTTTTTGTTGTGGGTGGACCTTAATTAATTATGGTGCATGTTGTGTTTAGCCGTTTACTTTCCAAAAATCGGATGGTTCTCTCAAAGTTATTTGAACAGACAAAACATATGATATCTTCGACGACATGCGTCTATACGTACTCACACAACTATACAAAGGACTGACAGTTTTTTAATAGTGAAATGAAATATTCGAGTTTAAATTCATTATTCATATAACAACAACACTAACATAAACAATTATGTTACGAGTTTAAGTTAGACGAAACATGTAAAATATAATACACCTTAATTTAATTTATAATGAGCAAACCATTATCTCCATTAAATATAACAAATCATCCAAAAAAATTATA